AAAAAAAAAAAACAACTTATATTCAAACTAGAGCCTGGGTCGGGTTTTTTCTCTCTCTCTCTTTGTAACTCGCGTGGGGGGTCCCGCAGCAGCGTTTGGGAGTCGTTTATTCCTCCCTTTAAATCCCGGTGTGGATGCCAAACCCTCCCCGGGGATAAATCGGGTTGAACTCCGGCTTTTGGCTTTTCCTGCCTTTTTATTATTTTTTTTTTTTAAAGAGTCTTTTCCAGCCGCGTTTTGGGGGAGAGAGGGGACTCCCAGAGATCTTTATCCCCGCGGAAAAGTCTCCCGATCCAGCGTGATCCCGGCTTGTTGTCCCGACGAGCCGCTGGTTGGGTTTGAAGCGTCCAGAAATTATCTGATTTTTTTTTGTCCTTCCTTCTTTTGGCTTTTCCCTCTCGACTTTTTAATTCCGAGGAGGATAAAAAACAAACCCTTAACACAAGGAAACCTTTTGTGCCGGTGTTTTTAGGGATATTTTGGGGGTGTTTATTTTGCAGGGGGGGTGGGGGGGAACTGTTTGGAAGGAGGTTTTTCCGCAAATCCGCTCGCGGCTTTTCCCGGCTCAGCGGGAAAAAATTCCAACGCGCCCCTTGGTCCAACGCGGTTTTTGGAGGGGTTTATATAAATTTTTTTTTAATATATCTGTGGTTTTCCCCCTGTATTTTTGCACAGGTTCAGCCTTGGCGGGTCCTCAATCAGGAGCTGCTCCCGCTCCGCGGCTGCAGCTTTTCCTCCTGCCGCCTTCCATAAAACTCCCTGGCTGTTCCCAGGATTTGGGGGAGTTCCTGTGACCCCACAGCCCTCTGATCCCGCTTTTCCTGCGCCCCCAGACCCCTCACCCCCCTCCTTTTCTTCATCATTTTCTGGCTGTTTGGTGTCTTATTTTCAGGGTGTTGGAGCAGCCGGAGCTGGGCTCGATTTCCCACCGGGATTTTGGGATGGGAGCTGGGATGCAGAGGGAACACTTTGCCCCAGGGCTGGGCAAGAAGGGGGGGAGCTTGGGGAGGGGGAATTCAATCCCTTTTCCTGGTTTTATTGAGATCCAGGGAAGCTTTGGAAACCTGGCTCTGAATAAACGGATCCCGTCTTGCTGCCCCTGCAGCCGCTGGCAGGACTTCGCCTTCTCTCCTGGAATTTTTTGGGGATGAATCGCAGCTTCCTGGTGGGTTATTCCCCAACTTTTCCTCCCACTATTCCCATTTCTTGGTGCTTTTTCTCTGGGAGAGCGCATCCAGCTGCTCCATGATTAGATAAGGAGAGTCTGGGGAGGAAGGTGGTGGTTGGGGCCGGCGCCTTTCCCAAACCATCCCGGGCACTTCCAATCCCCGCATCCATTCCCTCCTCCCTGGATCTTGCTCCCTGCTCCCTGTGGGGTCACCGCCCCTTTTCCCAGCTGCGATGGGGCTGGATCTGGAAGCGGAGCTGCCTTTGGGGGGGCGGGGGCTCTGTGGGGTTTTGGGGGAACACTCCCTGTGGGATCTCAGCCCGGGATCCCGCGGGGGTGATGGCGATCGCCCCCTTCCCGGGAATCCTTTTCCCACAGCCTTGGCGGAGCAAAGGCAGCGATTTAAGGCTGAGAATTCCCAATTTTCTCCCCTTGCCTTGCTGCCCAGCATCATTTCCCCCCTCCTTTCTGATTCAGATATTCAGATATTCAGATATTTTTTTGGGGTACCAAGAGGGGAAAGATCCCCCCGGGTCTCGCCCTGGAGCAGATTATTTTGGTGATCGTGGAATTGCCCCTTTTCCTTCATCCCTGAGGACACCAGGGATGAGATTCCCAACTCCTTGCACCGCTTTGATTTATTTGTTGTGCTTTCCAGCACCTCCTGGAAATCCCCCAAAGCAGGGGAACAGCTGGATTAGGACATGGGGGGGTCGGGGTTGTTGCCCCCCATGGGGGGACCCCCTTCCAAGGCAGTTTTCCGGGGGGATTTGGGGGTGGAATTTCGCCTTCCTACCCCATCCCAGGGCTGGGGTGCAATGATCCCAGTCCCCCTGATTAGCTCCAGGCTTCCTGGCACTGGGATATGCCCCCAAAATAATAAACCCCGAGTGTTTTAAGCCCAAATTTGGCTGGTTTATGACTCGTCTCCGTGTTGGGGGTCTGATCCCTCCCCCCGGGTTTTTTTGGGGGGGTTGTCTGGGTGATCCCTGCTTGGAATTCCAGCGGTTTTTGGGGGATTGCTGACCCTCGCGGGGCTGTGTGCGTGTATTCCACGCGTGCTGGGACGTGGTTTTTTTTGGGATGGGGGGGTGCTCTGGGATGGGCTGGTGTGTCCCCAGTGCCGCAGGGCTGCGGATATTCCGGTGGCGCAGGAG